CCGTTCCCATCCTATTAACTGTGTTTGCACTCCAAATGTTGAACTGGGTTATAAGGAAGTTTAAATTAACACTGGGCTGTAGTTTTTCAAATGCTTGAAGCAGATGTTCAAGTGCCAGGAAATCTTGCCTTTTTTTTTTTTTTTTTTTTCCCCCTTGTCTTTAAAAAATAATACATGTTGCTGGGGCTTGGGCTCAGTGTTTTTCACAGAAAATACTTAACTGAACCTCTCCCATTATGCTGTAGGTAAGTCAGGCATCAAGCTGACCAGGGCTGTTAAAAACCACAGGATCCTTTGGTATTTCTATCCTGCTGGAGGTTCTGCTTTGCTTTGCTGTCTGAGCAGTGTAGGAAGGACAGTGCAGAAGGGCTTAGGAGAAGATGAGTGTCATTTCTGGCTGCTGCTTTGGATGATGGTTGCTTTGGGAAATGCTTTCTCCTAAGTGACCTCAGGTTTGGGGAGGCTGATCCTGATGCCTCTAGCTCCAGAGCTGCTGCTGACCTGGCAGGGGCCACTGGCTTTGGAAAGGGTATGTGTCCACAAACTGACATCTGGGTACCTCCAAATGGGAGAAGCACGAGCCAGCACTGGGCTGCTCTCATCCAGTTAACAGGCACTGCTAGGGAGAGGGGGTGCCCTGTTTTCCTGCCAGAACAAAGTGGGGCTCTGCCCCTTCTGCCCAGGCTCTACAGACAGCCCCAAGCTGCTGATCTGCCCCCTGTGAAAGGGCTGGCAGGGCTGGGGCAGCCGTGGCAGAAAAAGCCATGCTGAGCTGTCAAGCCTTAAGGTTTAAAATACCTTTGGGTACCACAGGGTAAGATTGGACTCCAGGATCACAGTCAAGAAAGGGATAACTCAAGAAAGCTTTGGAGAGAAATCTATTTGAGGAGTTTTAGTCCATGTGCAGAGGGCTGAGATGAAAGGAACCTCAAACCTTCAAGTGCTTTGTGAAATCTGGCATTGGTGTTGAGTGTTTTCACAGCAGACACAGCTGTCAGGATTTGTTCAAAGGCCAAGAAACGAGTAAGATGTCTTGGAGTTCATGCTCTTCTGGAGGCATCGTGTGTTGATTTAAGAGCAGCAATCCACAACTAAAGCTCTTCCCTCAAATCCCTTGCTGATATGTTATCCAGGCTCTTCCTCTCTTTCTACCATTTGTTTCTGCTCCCTCTCTTGGCCTGTCCTGCATGTTCAGACTGCAGCATTGCAACATGACATTTTGCTAAAGAGGAGGCTTCACATCTGCTTGTGCTTTCTTATGTATATTCAGTTAGAAACAGGTAAAAACAAAAATACAATGGATATTGATTATTTTGGTGAAACAGAGTTGCTGCCTCCTCTAGCTGAATGCAGTGATTTGTGGATGGATGGATGGATGGATGGATGGATGGATGGATGGATGGATGGAAATACAGCTCCATACTGAAGCTGTATTTTTCCAAACCTTTCTAAATGTGGAGTGGGCTTCTGAAATTTAAGCCAAGCACCTGCTAGCACGTTGCTGTAAAACAGATCAGAAATGAAAGCAAAATCAAAGTATGTTATTTAATGTGAAAATCAATTATTTTAGAAACAGAAGTGGTCACAGAATGAATATGGATGGATGAGTGGATGGATAGATGGATGGGTGGATGGAGAAAAGAAACAAAGAAAAAGAAAACATGCAGTGGAGTATTTTTTCAGGGACTCTTGCTGACATTACCAGCACTTACAGCTCATAGCACTGGCTCTTGTCATGCACTCCCCATATTGTTTGTGAGTGGCTCTCTACAGGGACAGGTGTATTTAAAGCCAAACACTTGTGAGTTGACAGAAACAACCTTAATCTGCTATTTAGGGAAAGCTCTTTATAAACTAACTGCACCCACTGTTTTGGTGCTATTTTGCCTGATCTTTGCCATCTCTCTGCCATGGGTACTCAGCAAATGTCTTTGCATAATGATATTCAAAGGTAAGGTAAAAGTAATATATGGTTTTGCTGATAAAGCAGCACACACATTAATTAATGAAACACCATTCTCAATAGTTATAACCTCAGGTTATCCACAGTACAGGTACAGCTGAAAGACTCAGCAGATGTTCAGTTCTCTTTCAAAACAGCACAGTAGGATAAATCTTATGCTTTGTGGTGTTTCACCACAAACTCTGGCTGAAATCCTCTTCTATCAGTCTTGGTTTCTTTATAAAGAAAATTGATGAACATCAAAACACAGGCTGGCCCCTAATTCTAAAAAGCTATCAGTGACATTTTTACTGAGCTTGTAAAAATTCACACGTGCAGGTTCGACAACTGATAAAATTACATGCCTGCCCACATTTGCATTGTAACACACTGTGCACTATCTGCTCTACTACAACAAATCTCTGGCAGTAAGAGAGTGTGAAGGCAGCCACTCTGCTTTGCTACGTGGTCACTTGAAAATCTGCAGTGATTATGGGCAACTACAGTGGGTTCCTTATTATTTTTAAGGCCTGGATCCTCCTACACTCTGTTCAGAAGTGTTGGACTGTTTAGTCAAGACAGTGGTGCAAGAAACTGCCTGGTGGGATCACTGCCACGGGAACTGTCACAGAAAAGAGATGATAAAAGCAAATGTCGGATTATCTCCCTAATGCTGGATTATCACTCCTAACAAGGTGAATGGTTTGTCTTGGCAAATGGCTTCATAAGAATTGTGGATAGTTTTGAAAGGATCTGTGTGGTCACACTTCAACCGTTGGCTGCTGCAGTTCCTGTCAGCAGAGCAAAATATCACACCTCTTACCAATTCTTGTAACGTGCCAATAATCATGGGCTGAGATTGCAGGGTAGCTCAGGGAAAGGTCTGTGAGCAGAGTCAGACTCTGGCAGGGGGGCATCTGCAGCAGCCATCAAGCAACACAGCCCCACAGGGCATAGCCCATGGTCTGGAAACACACAGCATGAGTGGAGACTGCGGAGCTCCACAAGAAGCAACACAGCTGACCATTGAAAGCAATGATCATAGAGTCACAGAATGTCCTGGGCTGTAAGGGACCTCTAAAGGTCATCTAGTCCAACCCCTCTGCAATAAGCAGGGACATCTCACAATAGACACGATTGCTCAGAGCCTCATCAAGCCTGACCTTGAATGTCTCCAGGGATGGGGCCTCCACCACCTCCCCAGGCAACCCACTGCAGTGATCCACCACCCTCTTTAATACTAAAGAACTTTTTCCTAATTTCCAACCTAAATCTACCCTTTACTAGCTTAAAACCATCACCCCTTGTCCTATTGTTACATGTCCTAGTGAGCAGCTCTTCCCCAGCCTACTTATAGGTATTGGAAAGGTATTGGAAAGTCACTATAAGGTCCCCATGGAGTCTCCTCCAGGCTGAACAACCCCAACTCTGTCAATCGATACCCCTGATATATCAAATAATACCCCTGATATATCAGAGGACACCCCTGCATGAGTAGTTATGCAGGGGACACAACCACACGTGCTCTGGAATGCTGTTTAAACCACTGCAGTGAGTGAACAGTTCTGAAAGCAAGGGAGATAACCATGGGATATGGTCTTTAAAAATATCTAGAGGAGACAAATCAGAAACCCCCATCTCTGTGCAGCACAATTCAACAGAGAGATTCCACGTAAAATAGGATCAGTACAAGGTTTTATCCAAGTGGGATTACACACAAGCACAAAAATAAAACATTCTGTATTCTACATTATATTACAAAGGCAGGCAGTCAATAAATAGGTCAATAAATTATGGGAAGCACAGAAGAGTATGTGTGAAAATAGGTGAAACTGGGTTTAGCTGGTGCATGATAAAGTCTTTAGTGTTCATTCCCATGAAGTGTTAGAGTGATTCTTTCAAAGACGCTTATCACTTCCAGGGAAGATAACTTTCCCTTAAAAGTGTAAAACAGATGCAGGGACAGTACAGTAGGCTCTGGTACAGGCTAAAAGAGTCAACGTCACTTACACTTTCCCAAGAATCTGACAAATTTGCAGCTTAGTATAAATAAAGTGACGGGTCTATTGTTTCTCAGCTCCGACACCTCCTTATCGCTGCCATTTGTCGCAGAAGAGTGGCGGAAACATGGCATGTGACTCCTTGGGTACAAGTCAGGGGGGCAAGGTCTGTATGAATTGACAACTGCAGCACATGCAGAAAGGAAAGCTCCTCTCTAGTTGGCACCAGGGGTTTCCTTTCCTGCCTAGTTCTATGCAGACTAAATGCAATACTGCTGCTTGGCCATTTGGACTACATAGCTGTGTTGTATGCAACTTAAAGGACAGGGGGACTAGTTTCTTGAGCGGTATAAACTGCCCATTCTCGAGGATTCAGGAAGTTTAGTGCACTTGTCTCTGCCACCTAAAGCTCTGGCCCTTGAGAGGCTGCACATGGCTAAGGCAACAAAGCCAGCACTGCTCTACACAGGGTGCTTTTTTAATCAATGTGCCCAGGGGGGAGCTTCTTGCCATGGCACATCAGAGCACAGCACCATCCTGGCACTGCTCCTGGGCCCACTGCTTTACCCAGAAAAATGGGAGAGGGAACAGTTCCCTTCTGCTCCAGATGCCAAATCACCCCTGTCAGTTACCTGTAACAGAGGCAGGGAGAGATTAGAGAAAGGATTAAGGAAAAAAGGAAAGCAGTCTAACACCTTGTTGTGCCTTAGTGTTTTAGGAGCTTGAGAGTTATTGGGACTTAAGAGATACAGGGATAAATTAAAAAAATAATAATAATATAAGCATGTAGAGATTCTACACAAAATTATCCAATCTAGGGGTGTATTGCTGAAAATTCACCTATCTTTAATAGCTCTGGAAATCCCTACAGATGGCAGTCAGCATTTATAAAGTACAAAAATATGCCTTTATTTCTGCGAATTTGAATGGGCCCCTTTGGCAGGAAGACCCTCCCAAACAATCCAGTGATCTGCTCTATGCCCTGACAGGGAGAGAGACTCGGTCATCATTTGGACAGCTAAAAGCAGCAAGAAGCAAGCAATGGAACAAAATATACATTCCCTACGGTCGTGCGACTTGCCCATTCCCCTAACAGGAAACATACAATTAACTGTACATGCCTCATTAAATAACCTTATTAAATAGGAAACCCAAAATGTACAAATTTACAGACTGAATCATTAAATACTTCCCCTGTGCACCCCTCTGCGCGTGTGCTCCCTCCTACTATCTGCAGCCACACTCTGATACCACCATGCCTTCGTATTTGAACTTGTAGGTGACCACCCCTGCATCTAAGTAGAGAATGGAGATGGGATCAAGTTTGGTGGGCACGCAGCAGGCCTTGGAGGCTTTCTGGGGGTTCTTCAGGTGAACCAAAGTCTGGACAATGGCATGTTTCGTCGGTGTGACGTGCTCTGTCAAGGGGTAGGCACACACTCCGTGGCACTCGTAAGCTTCATATCCTGCTGGGGCGATGATCCAGGAATCCCAGCCAATCTCCTTGAAATCTATGTAGAGTGGAGTCTTTTTGCAGTAGTTGCCTTTTGCGTTCCTCCGGATTCGGGCGGTGGAGTCGTAGATGATGTTGGAGCGCATCTGGAGCAGCGCCTCCTCACCGGGCTGCCCGTGGAAATTGCCAACCTCCAGGTTCTCCAAGTCCAGGAGCTGCTCGTGGTCTATCATTTCGTTCAGCTCTTGCTTCTCCTCTTTTTTGTCATTGCTTTGGTCGTCAGAGAACACAATCAACAGGGGCTCATGCTTAGCCTCAGAGTTGATGTCGATATCAAGTTTGCCCTCCCCATTCTGCTCCTCACCTTCCCTGCTCTCTATATGAACTTCCAGCCGGTGTGTGGTCAGTCCTGCCCTTCTCCAACGCCTGATGGCTTCAGTGACCTCAAAGCTCTCCCACTCACTGCTTGTGCCATAGATGTGCCTGGATGCCAGTGCCACTGTTGTTCTTCTTTCTTCTCCTACCCCCATATGGTCATTTTCCAGCACTTCATAAATGGTGACCTTCCGGTCAAGCCCATCGTAGAGCATTTGGTCACGCTCCACCAAGGTGTAGAGCCTCAGCTCTGCCATGGTGATTTCTTCATGGTGAGGGATGGAAACATTGAATAGAAGAGGGTATTTCCGAATTCCTGTAACACCAACAGGGTGGGAAGCCAAGTCTGGAAATGACAAAGATCGAATATTTTAGCAGGGTCAACACATCCCGCAACACACACACACTGAAGTTCACCTGACATGCTTTGCTCTGCTTAGATTCAGTCAAACAGCTCCAGGAGAGTGTTTGTTTCATCATTTCCCAAAGTCATACCTTGAAAAAAGACTGACTTCGTTCTAGTTGTCACAGGACAACAAGATCCCAGACATGATGAAGAACATAAATCTGGATTTTAGATTTCCCTTCTATCCCCATGTCTTCCAGGGACTTCCTTATCACCTGGCAGTACTATATATTAAAAATGTGTTGTCTAATACCAATAAAAATAACTTCTGGGTTGCTGCACAGCAACTATTTCAGAAATGAGGGAAAACATTCATCAGTGTAGGAGAGGAAGGAAAGAAGGGCATGCATCTGAGTGAACATCTAAACTGCACATGCAAGAATCATAGGCTGTATCTGTGTCTGCTTAGTGGTTCTGGGCTAGCAGGTATTCCCTTCTTCTGAAACATCCCTCAGAAGGTGAAAGGGAGGAGAAGTTGCTTCAGAGGGTGTAAAGGCTTCGGGTTAGGAAAGGCAGGTGGTGAACATCCAGAGTGAGCCACCAGTCAGCAGAAATCCTGCCACAGAATGGGCTTTCTTTGAGTGAGCAGTGAAACAGCTGTACTCAGCCAGGCACTTTTGGCAGCTTTAGTTAATAAAACATATAAGAAGCACATATCTGCTTGTCGGTCAAGCTGTCTGTCCTATCTGCATTGTTTGTTTATACACAGGCAATATGCATTTCTTTACACAATGCAGGAATCTGAGCTAACAACTGTGTATTTGTTGCTGACACAGGCTCGCAGTGAGAGGATGAGGGGTAGTGGTTTTAAACTGAAAGAAGAGAGATTTAGGTTAGAGATCAGGTGGAAATCCTTCAGTGTGAGGGTGGTGAGACACTGGAACAGGCTGCCCGGGGATATTGTGGGGGCTCCATCCCTGGAGGTGTTGAAGGGCAGGTTGGATGGGGCTCTGAGAAGCCTGTTCTAGTGGGAGGTGTCCCTGCCTATGCAGGGGGTTGGAACTCAATGATCTTTAAGGTCCCTTCCAACTCAAAAAATTTGGTGATTCTGTGACTTACTCTCTACTTGGAACTCAGAAGACAGATTAGGCCATGGGACTGTGAGTAACATTTCTGCAAAGGCAAACTGCTTGTGACCTATTACTATCTTCATCTCTGACTTCTCCAATTTTGGTATGTTTGTAGAAAAAAGACACTGATCAAACTGCAAGTATTGGCTGTGCTCCACGAGTGCTCCGAAGCCAGCAGTTAACTTAAACAAGTGACTTGTCCTTAGAGTTTTGAGGCACCTGCATTATGTAATTTTTCCATTTTGCAGTTTCATCTGCTCGTAAAGAAATGATCAGTGATTCCACTTACATTTCCCTGTCAATTGATGAAGGCGGCAGCTGATCCTGCTCTGCACAGCACCAGGGTAGGAGCAGACTGCTGGAAGACCATGCTATTTGAGCTTAACTATCATCTCCACACTGACAGTGACCTCTGGGATTTCCTAGACCTTGATATGCTAAAGCAGGTCTGCAGTGACTGCACATAGTGACAGGGTGGAGAAATGCCTCCTGACCGTAGAGAAGATGAGCACAAGTAATTCACCAGGAGGCGGGGCAAGGCCACACCATGTGTAGGGAGCCACGTGAAGCCTAGAAGGGCATGAGAAGTGTTAATTTCTGAGGCAGGAAGTGACTCTGCCCTTTAGTTAGAAAGTCCATAGGGTGAAATATCTCCTATCATTACCCGGACAACCCTAGCTGGGTCAGGAAGGGAGATCTGGATTCCATAGGAAAATAAGAATTTCCCTTAAGATCTTTATTCAAGTCTTAAGAACTGATTACAGACCCATTTATAATGGAATACAGTCCATAGGTTAAAACAAAGAGCTAATTCCAGCCATGCAGCATGTTGTATTTCTCTAATGCTCTTACAGCAAGTTTAATGAAGGATTTAAAGGTTAAGAACAAAAGTACCATTACTGTCAATTTTCAGTAGGCAGGTGGACAAAATAATTCCGTGGTATCATCTGTTTCTACTGTCCTAATCCTTGTAAGTAATTAATTTCTCCATCAAAAGATTTCTTTAGAATGAAATGTTCTTGGTTATACAAACTTCCAGGACACATAACAAACATCATAGCTCCTTTAGCTGCATGCTTTTATGAAACTATCTTAACATCAGCAGTCTCCCTTTGCATCTTGCTGGCTTTGGATTGGAAGAGGTGAGAGAAATAACTGAAATGACAGAGAGTTAAGGCAGGTTTCCCCTGTTCTGTGGAGAACTGCAGTGAGGAAACAGGCATCAAATGTCACAGTTACAGAAAGGCACAGAACTGTGAACTGCTACATGTATTACTGGCACCTGTACCACTGGTGATGCTGAAAACCTGAAAGAATTCCAGCTTTGCCTGTGGAATGATTTCAGATTTATGTCACTAACTCACAACACATTTTATTCTGTAGTACACTGTACTTGGCAATTTTTATCCCATTTATTTTTTCTGAATGTCGCAAAATGAGAGAAGAATAACATGGATTCCTGCAAACATCCTCATCTGGGCTGATGAGCAGTGACAGGTATGAGATGGGTAACTGCACCAGTGGGTGTAACTGATTGGGCAGCAACCCTTCAAGACATTTCTCTACACTGGAGAAAAGAGGATGTAAAGAAGATTTAAGCCACAATGTTGTGCCTTTTCAAACCAGAAACATGTTACTGGAAAAGAGTAGCCAGGCCTGGCAGAAGGAGAGCAGAACAGAGCTTCTGGATTCTCTCCTTGCATCTTGCTGCCTTGCACAACTGAAATCACTGAATTACTTGCATGCAGCCTCTCCTTACCATTCATCATTCGAAATTACAAATGTTAGAAAAAAGTAATGATGATCTCTGTACTTCATTAATTAGACTAACAAAGGATAAGAGAAGCCCCATGACAGTCTGAGTCATTGCATGTATCCTTGAACAGTTAAAAAGAAACTCAGCACTTGTCCATACCAAGTGGAGTAACTGGTATTTGGAAATGATTAGTTGAAAAACATTTAAAACAGTGAAGTAATTAGTATTTGGAAGTGATTAGTTGAAAAACATTTACAACAGAAAATCTGTCTTGGTGCAAACAGGTATTGACAAACTATTGAATGTTGGCACTGAAACATTATCTTGTCCTTGCTGAACTGAGAGGAAATGCTGAAGCAGAAACTATCTAAGGCCACACTTAGGTTTCTTCAGATTTTTTGTTTTAAAATAGGAAATATTCTAGTCCCCCAAAATACAACCTAAGGGTTATCCAAAATTCTGCCTCATGTATTTCCATGTATTTTCTGGACTGTGCTCAGATACAAAAGGGAGCAAGTGTTACAATTCCAACGAGGATCAACAGTGAGAGGATATCAACAGAAAACTGCATTTGGTTAAGCTCACTGTAGGAAAATACTGTACCCTTGAAGAGTGTGTAAAAACATTTCTCGCCTTCATTTCAGGTACTACTTAAGGTACCAATCTGAAAAATCAACCCAGTAATTGCAAATGACGTGTATCATTACGGGGGTAACAAAAACTATGCACCCAAATGACACTTGGTGCTGTCCAAACACTAAAGAAACATATTCTACAGCCTTGCAGTCTCAAAAGCAAAGGACCATGGATTTACCTCACAAGATGTGGGATCTGGGTAACAAGCACAAGCAGTGTTAGCTGCCTATTTCCAAAGCCACCCTGATTAAAGGCCTTTTTTCCCCTGGTGCGGTTCATGCTCCGTGCCTGGTGATTACATTTCACATGGACTACAAGGGCACTCATTTCTGTTTACTTCTCCTAGAGATGCACGGATCTTACCTTCATTTTTGAAGCTCCTAATGATGTTTGCGGATGGCATGGATGTCCTATCAGTGGCAAACCTGTTGTACAGCTCTAGCATGTACTCTGGTGGATCCACCTTGGCCGTTTCATGCAGGGGAATGTCGGAGAGGTTCAACGTCTTCAGGAACTCGTTTTTCATATTCTGAAGCAGCGTGTTGAAATCAACACCATCCTGCTCGGAGAGAATCTCGTCGAAAAGAGGCACGTCTTCCTCCAAGGAAGAGTGCTCCAAGCTCAGGATGGGACTGCAAGCAGCAAGGTGAACCAAGAGACAGAGGACAGCCCACAGCTGGAGGACTACAGAATCCATGGCTTCGCTCTAGCTCAACAAGCTCTAGCTCTCGTGAGGGCTAAGCGGCGGTTTTATCCCCTGGGTTGTGCGCGGCTTGTGTCACAGAGAGATGACAAGTTTGGAAGCTCTTGTCTTGAAACTTGTGATCCGTCCTGTCTGTCTCCCCCTTCCCCCTCCCCAAAACCAGGTCTCAGTAATTGGATATGGCTTGCTCTCTTCTATGGTCGCCTTGCTGCTCTTATCTCGCGCAGGGTAAGCTGTTCACCAGATTTGTTGCTATCTCGCAATCCCCTCTCCCTTAATGAGCATTTTGTAAACATTCTGCGCTAGGACACTCTGAGATAGGACAAGTTTCTCCTCAGAGAGGATCTGCCCTTTCTTGCTGACTTCCTTTGCCATGCGTGAACAACTGTCATCCCCGCAGATTTCAAACGAACACGGAAATTCTTCAGAGCCTCTGTCCCAACCTATCAATTTTGCACCAAGGGCAAAGAATAGCTCCCTTAAGCTCTGCCCTTTTCAAAGCTGTTTCAGAGTTGAGTTATTACACTCACAAAGGAAGGTCTTTGGGAAAAGGTCCATCCTTTTGTGCTTGCACAGTGGACAGCACAGGAGATGGGCACCACGTACTACCAGGATACTGGAGCCACAAGGCCCTGAATGCAGAGGAGCTCAGGATGAGAGAGGAGAATTTCTCACACTGCAGCTCTAAGGCTGTGCTTTGCAAGGGCTCTGCTGGAAAGAGCACTTTGAAGAGAGATCAAATTCAAGCCAGAGAGTGTGGCCTTGATTTTTTTTTTTATGCAGGCATCAAATATTTTCAGTGCTTATTTTTGCTATAAAACACTTTTCTCTGATCTGAATATCAACATTGGTAAGCACTCAGGGCTGTGTGCCATATAAAGCCTCAGAAACAGATTGAGGAATGGAGTATTTGCAAATAGTTCAGAAAATGTTTTCTCCCTTACCTTATATACCTGACTTGGCAGGTTCTAGTTATTCTTGATACAGTCACAGCACTGCTAAAAAGAGGCCAAAAATTAATGAAAATATACAAAACCCAACAAAGTACTCTGACTTCACATTGGCAACACTCAGTAGCTCACCAGCACAATTGGGGGAATATGGAAATTATTTTGCCACAAAGATGTGCTAAAATTAACTAGTGGCCCTCTTTTGCTACAGTGTGCAAATATCAACCAAATGTGAGCATGGTGCATGCAAAAAGTGGTCTAGTTTTTGTGTAACATTGTCCACTCAAATCTCCTTGTTCCTCACAGACTCTCTCAAAGTGCCCTTGTTTTGGCAACAGGGCCAGAGCTCAGCTGCTCTGCCCTTCAACACTCAAGATAAAGAGGCATTTCTTCTCACGCTGCAGTTTCTTCTTGCAAGCACAAAGAACTTTACCCAAAGACTAAACCACACCTGATTTGTCGAGTTTTCTGGACTCTGCTCTTCCATTCCAGCTAAGCACACCCCTTGATTTGTTGCCACATCTCTGCAACTTTCTTCCTCCTTCAACAGCCCAAATCTATCACTGGCACAAATGATCACAGCTCCAGCTAACTTAACTATACCAATACTCATGTTTTAAATTAATTATCTGTATTTTTTTGTAAGTATCATTCTCTTTGTGAAAATCACACGCAGTATTGATGGAGCCATGAAGCCAACATGGTCTTTTAACTGCATTTTATTCAACTTTACTTCTTCTAAACATGGGGAACTTGACAATGAAAGCTAAGTACGATATCAAGTTATTGCTACACTACATTGTAAGTGGGTATTTGAGCTTAGGAAGATTAATTCAGATCTCATAGTGGAGTTCATGGTTATCTGTGCAAGTTTATCTACAAATCCTCTGCAGCCTTCTCAAAGGCTCATCTCTGGATATTGTGGCTTTCCAGAGCCAAGCACAGAAAACCTTGGGAAATTTTGGAGCCAAGTTCAGGTAATTTCTGTTGATTAACTTTAAAAGAAAAGCAGAATCTTCTTTTTGTGGGTGATTCATCACCTGAATATGCTGAACTAAGGTCCTTACTGCCATAGGAAATGAGATTAACATTAAACCCCATGAGAATAGCCTTTTAGCCTTAACTCTTTGGTGCAGCACAATCCTGGCTATTGTAAAGGAAAATCTCCAGGATAGGTTGTCACAGCCACTTGTGCAGGTAGCAGAATTGTCATAAGAGCAGTAACACCTACAGCAGTGGCTTCCTTTTTTAATACTTAAATATTAATTTCAGAAATGCACATATGAATGCAAATATTACTAAATGAAAGAGAGAAACAAATTGTAAGAGCTACTGCTTGCTGGAAGGAATTAGGTGATGAGCCCCATCAGCACCTCACACAGCATGTGGCCTTATCCTCAGCCCTTGCTTGTAGCTGGTTTTCCTTCCCAGACAAGTACCAATGATGGTTTGACTGCACAGGCAACAGCACGAAGACACCCTGCTGAGGTTGCAAGCATGGGATCTCTGGTGCCTTCCTAACCCAGATGACCAATTCTAGAGCCAGAGGAGTTTCTCTAGGTTCACTCCACTCTTGTACAAATTCAAACTTAGGCTGCTGCCCAGCTCTGGTTTGCTGGGTCACAAAACTGAACAGCATGACTTGAACTGCTCCAGCAGTGACACAAGCAGCACTGACTGCCTTGGAGCATGGGCTGCACTAGTGACCTCTCCAAGCCCTGCTAAGTCCAGACACATTTTCTATGAATCTGTAATTTCACACCTTGCAGGTATAAATATGTAAAGTTAAAAAGTAGCGTGAGAACAGCGATCTGACATACATTTCCTACCCCACAAACATGTCATCTTGTTTCAGTGGCTCATTAGGAACACAATTCCTGCTCAGACATTCCAACTGTCCTCACACTTCCGCTCCCGCTTTGATAACTCTTTGAACAACAGCACACAGAAGGGCAGTACAGCCTGTGTGTTATACACAAACCAGCTTTGCTGAGTTTCCCAACTTACTCAGTTGAGACCCTTCTGGAGATTTGCCAGATTGAGTGATACCCACAGGGTACATCTGATAAAAAAGCAGCTTCCTGTTTCCTTAGGTTGCAGGCTGATTAATTTAACGTACACATTTTTTGTCGAATTAAGTTGTTTAACAGAAGGGCTTTTATTTCATGTCACTGAAATGAAGAGGTTTGTCCTTTTTTCCACATCTACTGCAATTTACGTGCAAACTACATATATAAGAAAGGAAGTTACTCTCAAAAAATCTATGCTAAATAGATTAACTGAGGTAGCTGGAGAGGGAACATTAACAAACATCACTTTATGTATTATTAAATTTATAGCATAAACAATGACCCCATTTCATTAGCAATACATGGTGCATCAGTCAGGCACAGCTATAGAAAGGTGTCTTGGTCCTCACTCCTAGGAAGTTTGTGTTTGTTTCCCCAGGTAATTTGCAGTTGTACATGGAAGAATAGAGCTAATGAAAGCTGAAGCCTCTGCACTGAACCTGGTGGAGTTAGGGAACAATACTCAACATTTACAGCACTGTTTAATGAACGTTTTACCCCTCCTGTTGGAGGTGAAGGTGGCACTTATTACTATGCCATGGTAAGAAATGGAGGGGAAAGTCAGTCCAGAGAGGCAAAAGAGGAAAGGTAGGCCTTTCCTACCCACAGAGCTAAGACCAGGCAAGAGTGTGAGAGCAGCTGGCTCAGCAGCAGCTCCCGGGAACAGCTCATTTGTCCAAAGGGCCAGTCCTGAAGATTGTGGGGCTCCAAAATAGCCTCTAATCTCAGGCACCCCATAACCTCCTCCAAGCTGATGCCTCCACGGCTTCTTCTGTCAAGAGGCAGCAGAAGA